TCAAAGTCAGCACACACAAAACTGTACTTAATACTCACTTCAACGACACGGCAAGCAAGAAGATCGGTGTCGGGAAAATCAGTGACTAGTTCTTGGACGCGCAGCATTGCCTCATCATGTTTATTTGCATTAAACAGCGCAATAGCCTGTGACTCATAATGAAGCGCGGAGTGTGCAATAAAAGAGCAACATGCCTTGATCAAGAAAAGTAAATGCGTTGTGCTTGCAACACCATCAGCCGATCTGAACGCAAGGTCAAAAACTTTCGTGGCGTCCTGGAACTGCCTTTTCCCGTAGAGGGCAATGCCCTTTGCAATATAGCCTGTTAACGAGGGATTAATGCGTATTGACTATGCCAGGATCAATGTTAGCCTATGTGAAGTGCATGTCGGATGACTTACTTCATTTGCATCTCGAAGTGCAAAGATGGAGTTGTGTGGTTGGGTTGCGATTGATTTGTATAAGGCCGGGACCATTCTAAGGAATCGCACTCCCCGAGTCATATCTCACTATCATGATGTATGAAACCGAAAAAATGCGATACCCAGTGTTCGGTGCGAAGCTGAAGCAGCGTGCATGGTAGATATATTCAAATACTTGCGAGCTACTGAAAGTCGTGTGATGCGCAGAGCGAGACGGTTTAAAGAAGCTTGATCATAATGCGAAGAATGATTCAACGACGGGGGACGAAGCACACCAAATAATTTTCAACCGACACGTTGTGCAATGTCGGAAGCGAGATATGGGAACATGTATGAATATGGAGCATGATGATGGCGAATAGCAAAATGGTGGGGCGATCATGAAGGATGTTGAAGGCACCCGCAAACACGTAGAGTACATCACCAACTTATAAAGAGACAATAATGGGTAGAGATCCGCCTAGCAGTTCAGGAAACGTAAGATTTGACCGTTCTCCCGAGCTCTCCTTGGTCGAGGAGACGATGAGTCGGATCCTATGGATGGACAAGCAAGAACATCTGTTGAGTGGGCCTTGCCTGCAGGAGTGGATCAGCGCCTCTTGTGTGGTGATCGACAAGTCGCGAGTCTCAGCGCACTACCGTTTGACACGACATTCGTCCCATGAGCTCCGATGTGTAACCTTGAGTACAACAGGAAAGTGACAATAAGGCTCACTAATGGAGCAGCTCTTCTCCCACTTTTACTCCATACAAGAAAGATCGCACAGCCCGGCTGTGGAATGCAGACAGTGACTTTTGATAAGACGTCCTGAATCGGATCCCTCGGTTATTCGTGTGTTCAAGTTTAGGAATGAACAGAAGTGTTCGGTAAAATGGAAGTTTGAAATCTGTAAATCAGAAACGGAGGCAAAGGCAAAGGCTGCCGATCAGTAAAATTCTTCTGCAAAATTTTCTTGTTCGACGCGCGAACGTCAAGACGGACCAATAAAAGGACTCGGAAATCACACCCAATAGATGCCAAAGGCAACAACCACAGCCTAATTCGAGGATGAGTGATTTCGATGCTCCCTGAGTCCCCGTATCACACTTCTGTTATAGAAAAGATCGCGCAGTCCAGTTGATCGGATGCAGAGAGAGATGTCTGAACAGAACATCGAGAAAGACCATCAGATTCATTGATTACTCGGGTGTTCAGGGGGACTACTGAAAGTGACTTGTGGTCCGAAGGGTTGAAATTTGTAAATCAAAACGGAGGTAAAGGGCCGCCGTGAAGGTGACAGCTGTACAGCCCATGGTTCTTCATCGCGCCCACAGGCCACTCCTTTGCGGAGTGCTAGCCTGGCGAGCCTTTCGCCTCTGTGCAAGGTAAAACTTTATACCTATAGCAAACAAATGGCAAACCTTGTTTATTGAGATTGCAACCGGTACGTTTTGGATACATGCCAAAGAAAACAAGATACATGATTTGGATTGTAAGAACTTGTTACTTGATTGAACTCAACCGGCGGACTCGGACTTGTCGAAGGTGATTACATAATTGTCGTTGTCACGAACTCGGTCAATTTATGGTTGACTGAACCGTCACGGAGTCTGGCTCCATCAACGAATTCGTTCAACTACTTATCGATTATCAATTGTGGACCTTGACTTGAAATATTTAGCAATGGTATTTTGCTAGTTTAAAAGCTAGCTCAGGTTTGCGTATTCTGATTCTCAACCCACTTTCTTCTCTATCTGAGCCCCCTTAGCCCTCATCATCATGGCCGACAATGCTGACGCCACCGTACGTGACAAGACACCTCCCCGTAACTCTACCTTGTCTGCCGATTCGGAGACTGGGCTCAAGTCCACCCCACTCGCAGTCGGTTCCGCTGTTGTCAGCGAACACATCAGTACTGTTGGCCTTAAGTGCGTCAGCTCTTCCTTCTGTTTTCACCACCATCACTCATATCAGTAAACGTCGCAGAGTCAAGAATGTCCGTCCATGGATCGCGAGGGACGTCCAAAACTTCGAGAAGTGTGAGGCAGATACAATGCTGCAAGAACTCCTTGCAAGATGCACAGGTTACTCTCAAAACCTTTCTGTCAGCGAGAAATCGAAGCTATTCGAAACTTCCCTCAATGCTGTCCTGCCTATCTGCAATGTGGGGGCTGTAGCGCAAGAGATAAAGGGACACTTGACTGATTTGTAAGTCAGTATTTTGAGCGGTGCGAAAGAAGACTGACGCTATTGTCAAGTTGTGATATCAACGGCGAAACATCGACATACGCTTCTTTCGTCAAAGCCGCCAACTGTGCGCTCCGTGAACTAAGCAAGGTGAATGTACAAGGAATACCTGCGTTCAAGGTCGACGACAAGACCAACATTCTACTCCATGTCAATGATACAAAGCCCATATACCAGGACCACCAGGACAAACAGTCCGAACGCAAGCCTGACGTTGTCGTTGTCTCTCATCAAACTGCCCTGGGTACGAAAGCACACGAAACGCAAGAATCCCAGGTTCTTACCGAGACGGCGTGCAAATCGCCCAAAGACAACTTTCAATGGACCGATGTTCGATCGACATTGGAGGTAAAACGCCCCCGGAAGTTTCTGACCCATCCGCCGTCGGTCTATAAGACCGATTACGTCGTTCCTTCTCCTTCTGCGCAGTACATGGAATATAGGAAGGGCACGAACGGCCCTGCTAAGCCAACAGGTTCAACACCTGCTACTGGGTCTACCCAGACCCCCCACGAAGCATCGAATGAGCGTAAGCTGTAGTATGTCCGTTTGCTACTTTCTTACTGACATGTGCGAGGTAGTAAGACCCTCGTCGCAATTGAGCAGAGGAGTCAAGCGCAAGCGAGGCGGCAACAATGAAGATCGGACTGAAGAGGACGAGCCGACGAAACCCCCTCCTATCGTCCAGAACGGCCTCTATGTTGCAGAGATGTTCGCAGCTCATATCGCGCGGCAACACGTCATCTCCTTTATAGTGAACAGTAAGTTGATGGGATACTCTTAACCTGGCGTCAAACTGACAACTCCTTCCAGACGACTGTATTTACGTCTGGTTTTGTGATCGCGAAACCACGATCCAAGGCGCCGCTATCAACTTCGTTCAGGACCTTCCACGCTGGTTGGTCTTGCTTTTCATCATGCAGCGGATGGGATACGAACAATGGGGCCTTAACCGCGTGTTTGAGCCTGAGCCCGGATTTTCGGGCAAGGTGATGATTGAGGATACCCAGATCGACCTTGAGTTGGATGTGAAGTCTAAGGAGCGCGTGACTCATTTCGGTATACGCGGACGTGCAACTACCGTATTTCCGGTAAAGAGCAAGGCACTATCAGATCGGCAGCGGGATCCCCGTTTTCCCAACGAATCTTCTGAACTGGTGGCCAAGCTCTATTGGCCAGAAGAGACGCGTCAGAGCGAGCCAGACATTCTGAACGAGGTCTACAAGATTGCACAAACAGATCCGGATGTGCGAGGCCACGTCCCAGAGCTGGTCTGGTTCCACAAGTTCAAAGAAACATCCACGTCCAAAATCCGAGTCGCACTAGGACTGAAGGACGCAGACCGGGCCGAACAGGGCAGCCGCGTCCTGTACATCATTGTGTTCAGAAAGCTTATCCCAATCACGACGCTTTCTGGCGAGGAGTTCATTGCCGCATGGTGGCAAGTTGTGAAGTGTAAGTTTTTTTTCCGTTCTCCTGCTCTTTATCATTTATCCTCTACTCGACAGGCCATCGCGCCCTCTGGAAGGGAGGCGTGCTTCATCGGGATGTCAGCCCTAGCAATCTCATGGTGTACCGCTTACGCGGTCAATTCATAGGCGTTCTCAACGACTACGACTTATCGTCGTTTAAACGCGATGGTCCCAGGGGCCTCGAGCGTACAGGAACGGTACCATTCATGGCGGCAGACCTTCTCACGCCAGACGGCGTCGCAGGCAAGGTCGAGCATGTGTATGCGCATGATGCTGAATCGTTGATCTGGGTCCTCACCTGGGTCTGTCTTCGGTATGAAGGTGGAAACCTCCTCAGCAAGAACAGACCATTGGAAGAATGGTTGAAAGTGGATGCTTCTCTATGCCAAGCAAGAAAGGCCCAGTTTTGGTCAATAGAGATCAGAAACGTGTGTCCGTCCACATCGCACGCAGAGTCCTGGGATCTTGTAAAGAAGTGCTTTGATGGGATCCACTCGATTTACCTTCCATCAGGGTACCGCAAACTCACCGATGAATCGGCTTTTCAGTTGTTACTTGAGGGGCCTATGCTAGAGCATGAGAGTCGTAGGCGTACTTATAGTTGAGGTAGCGTGCCTCCCTTACAAGTCGCTTTGTAGAATGAACGGTCACAGGCGAGAAGCGGTCTTGGGTACCACTATGACTTTGTAATGAATAGAATACGACAATCATGGAGGCTAAGCGTGCACATTCGAGGACACGTAGTTCCGCTTTCCAGCATCTTCTGTCCAACCAATTAAGTGTTTACAGTATCAAGTCAGTATTGACAACATGACACAGGGTTTCAGTTGCCTAATTCCGACTGTAATTTTGCAATGGCGTGTATCTCCATTCTGAGTGGACTGCCCAATCATACCGCGAAGAAATGGAAGAAGAGTACTACATGTCAAACGAAAGGATTACAATGCAATTCATAGTAGGTGGTATGTAGGAGGAAGGTAAAATGACGATAAGGTCGTAGTCATTGAGAACGCCTATGAATTGACCATGTAAGTGGTATCCCATGATATTGCTTAGACTGACGTTGCAGTGATGTACACCCCTTTCCCAGAGGGCGCGATGGCCTGTCAGAATATTGAATGCATGTACAAAGAGCACGAGGATGAAAGAATACATACACTTTACCATTTGCCACCACGCGGCGAGGAACTCCCTCTCGGTGAGCATCATCACAGGGAGAAGCTTTTTGAACATCTTGATGCACAGGGCGCGATCGCACTCCCCTATATCTCACTATCATGATGTATGGAACCGAAAACAATGCGATACCCAATGTTCGGCGCGAAGCTGAAGTAGCGTACATTGTAGATATGTTCAGATATTTGCGAGCTACTGAAAGTCGTGCGATGGGCAGAGCGAGAGGGGTTGAAGAAGAAACTTGATCATAATGCGAAGAATGATTCAACAACGGGGGACGAAGCACACCAAACAATTTTCAACCGACACGTTGTGCAATGTCGGAAGCGAGATATGCAGCGAACATGTATGAATATGGAGCACGATGGTGGCGAACAACAAAAATGGTGGGGCAATCATGAAGGATAATGAAGGCACCCGCAGACACGTAGAGTACATCACCATCTTATAAAGAGATGATTATGGGTAGAGATCCGCCTAACAGTTCAGGAGATATAAGATTTGACCGTTCTCCCGAGCTCTCCTTGGTCAAGGAGACGATGGCTCGGATCCTATGAATGGACAAGCAAGAACATCTGTCGAGTGGGCCTTGCCTGCAGAAGTGGATCAGCGCCTCCGAGTCTTGTGTGGTGATCGACAAGGCGCAAGTCTCAGCGCACTACCGTTTGACACGATATTTGTCCCATGAGCTCCGATGTGTAACCTTGAGGACTACAGGGAAGTGATTCTAAGGCTCATTGAAGGAGCAGCCGGGTCCTCTTCTCCCACTTTTACTCCACACAAGAAAGATCGCACAGCCCGGCTGTGGAATGCAGACAGTGACTTCTGATAAGACATCCTGAGTCAGGTTCCTTGGTTATTCGTGTGTTCAAGGAATGATCAGAAGTGTTCTGCGAAGTGGAAGTGTGATATTTGTAAAATCAGAAATGGCTGCCGATCAGTGAAATTCTTCTACAAAATTTTCTTGTGCGACGCACGGAATGTCAAGACGGAGCAATGAAAATGTTCATTGAAGAAGGAAATCGTACCCGATAGGTGCCAAAGGCAACAACCACAGCATAATTCGAGGATGAGTGATTTCGATGCTCCCTGGGTCCTCGTCCCATACTCTGTTATAGAAAAGATCGCGCAGTGACTCCAGTTGTTCGGATGCAGAGAGAGATATCTGAAAAGGACATCGAGAAAGACCATCAGATTCCTTGATTACTCGGGTGTTCAGGGGGACCACTGAAAGTGACTTGTCGTCCGAAGGTTTAAAATTTGTAAATCAAAATGGAGGTAAAGGGCCGCCGTGAAGGTGACAGCTGTACAGCCTATGGTTCTTCAACGCGCCCACAAGCCACTCCTTTGCGGAGTGCCAGCCTGAGAATCCCATGCGAGCTTTTCGCCTCTGTGCAAGGTAAAACTTTATACCTATAGCAAACCTTGTTTGTTGAGATTGCAACCGGTACGTGTTGGATACATGCCAAAGAAAACAAGAAGGATCAAGTAAGAAATTTAGGGATACACGATTTGGATTGTAAGAAGATTGAACTCAACCGGCGGACTTGTCAAAGGTGATTACATAATTGTCGTTGTCACGAACTCGGTTAAAGATCGTTTATCGTTTACTAAACCGTGAGTCTAGGGCTCACTGCCATCAACTTCGTTCAACTACTTATCGATTATCAATTGTGGACCTTGACTTGAAATATCTAACAATGGTGTTTTGCTAGTTTAAAAGCTAGCTCAGGTTTGCGTATTCTGATTCTCAACCCACTTTCTTTTCTACCTGAGCCTCATCATCATGGCCGGCAATGCTGACCCCACCGTACACAAGACACCTCCCCGTAACTCTACCTTGTCTGCCGATTCGGAGGCTGGGCTCAAGTCCACACCACTCGCGGTCGGTTCCGCTGCTGTCAGCGAACATATCAGTACTGTTGGCGTTGAGTGGGTCAATTTTTCTTTTTGTTCTCGCCACGATCACCCATATCAGTGAATTTCGCAGAGTCAATGATGTCCGCCCATGGATCGCGAGGGACGTCCAAAACTTTGAGAAGTGTAAGGCAGATACGATGCTGCAAGAACTCCTTGCAAGATGCACAGGTTCCTCTCAAAATCTTTCTGGCAGCCAGAAATCGAAGCTACTCGAAACTGCCCTCAATGCTGTTCTGCCTATCTGCAATGTGGGGGCTGTAGCGCAGGAGATAAAGGGACACCTGACTAATTTGTAAGTCAGCATTTCGAGCAGTGCGAAAGAAGACTGACATTATTGTCAAGTTGTGATATCGAGCGCGAACCATTGACATATGCTCCTTTCGTCAAAGCCGCCAACTGTGCGCTCCGTGAACTAAGCAAGGTGAATGTAGATGGGATACCTGCGTTCAAGGTCGACGACAAGACCAATGTTCTACTTCATGTCAATGATCCAAAGCCCATATACCAGGACCACCAGGACAAACAGTCCGAACGCAAGCCTGACGTTGTCGTGGTCTCTCATCAAACTGCCCTGGGTATGAAAGCACACCAAACGCAAGAATCCCAGGTTCTTACCGAGACGGCGTGCAAATCACCCAAAGACAACTTTCAATGGACCGATGTTCGATCGACATTGGAGTTAAAACGCCCCCGGAAGTTTCTGACCCATCCGCCGTCCGTTTATAAGACAGATTATGTCGTTCCTTCTCCTTCTGCACAGTATATGGAATATAGGAAGGACGCGAACGGCCCTGCTAAGCCGACAGGTTCAACGCCTGCTACTGGGTCTGCTCAGACCCCCCACGAAGCATCGAATGAGCGTAAGCTGTAGTATGTTCGGTTTCTGCTTTCTTACTGACACGTGCGAGGTAGTAAGACCCTTGTCGCAATCGAGCAGAGGAGTCAAGCGCAAGCGAGATGAAGATCGGACTGAAGAGAAGGAGCCGATAAAACCCCATCCTATCGTCCAGAACGGCCTCTACGTTGCAGAGATGTTCGCGGCTCACATCGCGCGGCAACACGTCATCTCCTTTATAGTGAACAGTAAGTTGATGGGATGCTGTTAACCTGGCGCCAAACTGACAACTCCTTCCAGACGATTATATCTACATCTGGTTTTGTGATCGCGAAACCACGATTCAAGGCGCTGCCATCAACTTCGTTCAGGACCTTCCACGCTGGTTGGTCTTGCTTCTCATCATGCAGCGGATGGGATACGAGCAGTGGGGCCTTAACCGCGTGTTTGAGCCTGAGCCCGGATTTTTGGGCAAGGTGATGATTGAGGATGCCCAAATCGACCTTGAGTTGGATGTGAAGTCTAAGGAGCGCGTCACTCATTTTGGTATACGCGGACGTGCAACTACTGTGTTTCCGGTAAAGAGCGAGGCATTATCAGGTCTGCAGCGGGACCCCTGTTTTCTGAACGAATCCCCTGAACTGGTGGCCAAGCTCTATTGGCCAGAAGAGACGCGTCAGAGCGAGCCAGACATCCTCAAGGAGGTCTACAAGATTGCACAGACAGATCCGGATGTGCGAGGCCACGTCCCAGAGCTGGTCTGGTTCCACAAATTCAAAGAAACATCCACGTCCAAAATCCGAGTCGCACTCGGACTGAAGGACGCTGAACGGGCCGAACAGGGCAGCCGTGTACTGTACATCATCGTATTCAGAAAGCTTATCCCAATCACAACGCTTTCTGGCGAGGAGTTCATTGCCGCATGGTGGCAAGTTGTGAAGTGTAAGTTTTTTTTTCCGTTCTCCTGCTCTTCATCATTCATCCACTACTCGACAGGCCATCGCGCCCTCTGGAAAGGAGGCGTGCTTCATCGGGATGTCAGCCCTAGCAATCTTATGGTGTACCGCTTACGCGGTCAATACATAGGCGTTCTCAACGACTACGACTTATCGTCGTTTAAACGTGATGGTCCCAGGGGCCTCGAGCGCACAGGAACAGTACCATTCATGGCGGTAAACCTTCTCTCGCCAGCAGCCATAGCAGGCAAAGTTGAGCATGTGTATGCGCATGATGCTGAATCACTGATCTGGGTCCTCACCTGGGTCTGTCTTCGGTATGAAAAGGGCATACTCCTCAGCACAAACAGACCACTAGAAGAATGGCTGAAAGCGGATGCTTATCAATGCAGCAAGGACAAGGCGCACTTTTGGTCAGCGAAGATGGGAGATATGTGTCCATCTGGATCGCACAAAACGTCCTGGAAGCTTGTAAAGAAGTGCTTTGATGGGATCCACTCGATTTACCTTCCATCAGGGTACCGCAAACTCACCGATGAATCGGCTTTTCAGTTGTTACTTGAGGGGCCTATGCTAGAGCATGAGAGTCGTAGGCGTACTTATAGTTGAGGTAGCGTGCCTCTCTTACAAATCGCTTTGTAGAATAAACAGTCGTAGGCGAGAAGCAGTCTTGGGCACCACTTATGACTTTGTAATGAATAGAATGGTGCAATACGACAATCATGGAGGCTAAGCATGCACATTCAAGAACACGTAGTTCCTCGTACCCACTATCACTTACGCGAGGACAGGCTTTCGGACATCTTTTGTCCAATCAATTGTGTTTACAGTAGCAAGTCAGTATTGACAACATGACACAGGGTTTCAGTTGCTCAATTCCGACTGTAATTTTGCAATGGCGCTTATCTCCATTCCGAGTGGATTGCCCAATCATACCGCGAAGGAATGGATTATCATATGGCATAAATGCAATTCATAGTAGATGGTAGGTGGTAGGAGGGAAGGACTAGAGGCGTGTGAGTGTTGTACATAGAACATTTAGTCTGATTTCAAGCCATGACCTGTCATACGATAAATGTAATGTCGAGTAACCGTACAAAATATCTTTGCATTTCAAAACGCAAGAGTGACTGCTCGCGGAGAGGGCTGTATCTCCACGGGCAAGACGTAGTATGCTTAAGTCTTTCTAGAAAGCTGAGAAAAAAGTAGTTAAGGATCGCAGCATGTAACATTACCGACGACTTACCGGCGAACCACACACGTAAGCTGGGTCTTATAGCTTCATCACAT